TCGGTTACCCCCCTGGAGATGACCCTCACAGTCTGTTGCGAAGGCGAGGACACTGGAGGTATGTTTGCAGGGAGACTGACCAGCTGAGCTTCCAAACCTCGCTCAGGAACGTACTAGCTGTGCAACGGCAGGTAAAACACATTCTTTCTGAATCTCTATTCTTCCATCCATCAGAGGGTGATGCATGACGGGAAACACTACTGAACCCGCACTTCAGGAGCCAAGTCCTGTGCTCCACACTTTTGGGCACTGACTCAGTTAATCCTCACAGTCAAGCCTGCAAGCCGGGGTCTGTTATTGGCTCCATTTTATAGAGCAGAAAACTGAGGCTCAGGGAACCCAAGCCAAAGCTCGCACCCAGCAGGCTGACCCCCGGCTCCCACCCATGGCACTTCGTCCTCACATTACTGCATGAATCAAATCGGATCAAGAGGCACGATTGAGGCACAAGCGCTTTTGAAACCTCCAAACGCTAAACCAATACTGGTGGGGGCTGTTGTCGTTGTTGTAATGGTTCAAGAACCCTGAGGCCAGTTACGAGGCCCAAAATCTTCCCCAGGGACTAATACTGGTTTTTAAAAATAAGATCAGAGCTCTCAAAAGAAGTTAAGGAAGCTAGGCGCGCTGGGAAGAGTTCATCATTCTAGTGGGGGAGAAAAAAACTCTGATTAATGGAAATGATTCTTAATATATTTCAAAATGATCTGTTATGACACAAAGCAAAGACATTTATATATGACTTTAAAATTCTTAATAGCTGATTTTAGAGCAACCTATTATGAAATCTTCCAAAGCAGAATATATAGTAAGTAAATCATCGGGCAGGCCTCCCAGGCAGGCTGACAGCAGCTCCTCTTAAAATAATTTATAAGGTGGGGTAGGGGAGAGGCTGGGAGAAATTATTGCCATAATCATGTATTAATAAAATATTTATAAATGTGACTTTCCCAGATACCATTACAGGCAACTACAGGTATGGGTCAAGTCCTCGAGCCCACATCAGAAAAGGGCATCCCACATGTTCCAGGGAGAGAAACTCCACCAACCAAACTCCTCTGGTGACAGGTCAGTGGATGGGGGGAGGGGGGTTCTATTAGCCTCTGTTTCGTGGCATTGGAGGTAGAGAGAGTTGAAGTTGACAGTGCAAACCGGAAGGCAGATCCCCCCGTATGCAGACCTTGCAGGGTGCCCAGTGGGGGCAATCCTGTGTCAGTTTAGTGCAGCCAGGATGCAACCAGCTGGGCCTCCTTGAGAGAGTCACCTATGCTGGGATCGGCAACAAAATCCTAAACCTTCCTTCTACAGAAGGGTTCCCTTGAGCTATCCACTACTGATGGCCTATCTGCCATCCCTCACCCTGGCCATCCCATACCTGCCACCCCACAGGTCCCTGGTCTGGCATTGCAGGTACCTGTCTGGACCTCACTGCTCTCTCTGGCTGCGGGCACATGCTCAGCTCAAGAGCCGGACAGGCTGGGAGTGCCGCTGTTCATGCCTCCCAGGAGCAACCTTCAACCAGGGAGAAGCAGGAGGTGGTGAGTAAATATCCTGGCTCCCTCGTCTCCCAAGTAATACGACTTGGAGCCATGCTCCTCAGAGTCGCCCAGAGGTCCCCAGTGGAACTGGGCTCCAGGCATCAGAGGTAATGCGCTCATTAAAGCACATGGTATCACCTGTCTTCCCTCCCCTGTCTCCTTCCCCTACTCGTGATCACCTCCCAGAAAGGACACTTGCACCCAATCTTTGTCTCCAGGTCTGCTTTAGGGGACCCAGTGCAGTTCAGCTTTCTCTTCCATATTCCATTTGATCGTCCCATCAACCCCGTTCTCTGCATGTGGAAAGAGGAGACCACTTGAAGTTCAGACCAGTCTGGTATTCAGTCTTGGTTAATTGCATCAAGAGCCTCAGCTTTCCATTCTGTAAAACGGGCTTGCTTCCTTCAACTCATCCCCAATCCACTGATGTCCCGACTTTGAACTTTCAGGGCTTTCCTGCTCTGACCTCTGTAATCCCACCCTCAACCCAATCAGTTCACAAAACTGGCTCATGGGGATCCCTGGGTGGCTCAGCAGTTTAGTGCCTGCCTTCGGCCCAGGGCATGATCCTGGAGTCCCAGGATGGAGTCCCACATCAGTTTCCCTGCATGGAGCCTGCTTCTCTCACTGTCTGCCTCTGCCTCTCTTTCTCTGTGTTTCTCATGAATAAATAAATAAAATCTTTAAAAAACAAAACAAAACAAACACAAAACTGGCTGGTGGTCCCAGCAAGGAAGTCTCACGTCTCCTAATAAGATGATGAATTCACAAGAAGGGACCCTCGTATTTTTCCCTTTGCCAGGTCTGGACACAATGTAGGTGTTGGCCCGTCTCAGGGATGGGGATGTGTTAGGGGCTGAATTATGTCCTCCCAAAGTTCATATGGTAAAGTACTAATGCCCAGGACTTCAAATTGTGGCTGTATGTGTTGATCAAGGCTTTAAAGAGATAATTAAGGTAAAATGAGGTCCTAGGGGTGGGCCCGAATCCAACGTGATGGTGTCCTAACCAGAAGAAGAGATCAAGACGCAGCACACACACACACACACACACACACACACACACATACACACGAATGGAGGGCCAGCCATGTGAGGACACAGCAGGAAGGCAAGCCAAGACAGAGGCCTGGGGAGAAACCAACCCTTCAGGTATCTTGATCTTGAACTTGCAGCCTCCAGAACTGCCAGAAAATGAATAAAGAACCTTGAATCTGGCTCAACTACAGAATTTCACATCTGACAAAACTGGGACCAGAGAGAAGGCGGGACTTGCTTAAGGTGACACATGAAGTTGGGGGCAGAGTCAGATTCCTAACATCCTCTCTCTGGCTTGACTGGCTCTAAGGGGGATGGAGGAGTTTTTTTCCAGAGCACAATCAAACAGTTAGGCACTTTGGACGCATAAGCCTCCCAGATGCTGTGACCTCCTGTGGGAGTGGTGCAGGATAGGGATGAGTCAGCTTTTTCTGGAAAAGGCTAGATAATAATAATTTGAGGCTTAGCAAGCCACAGAATCGCTGTCTCAACAACTCAACTCTGCCATTGTGGCAGGAATGTAGCCATAGCCATATAAATGAATGGGCATGACCATGTTCCAATACAACTTTAATTATGGACACTACAATTTGAATGCCATAGAATTTTCACACATGCCCAAATATTATAGATAGCTAGCTAGCTAGCCACCTAATTGAAATATAAAGATTATTTTTAGCTTATTGCTATCCCAAATCAGACAGCAGACTGGATATAGCCCATGAGCCATAGTTTGCTGACGCTTCCTGTGGACAAAGCCAGCTGCAGAGGTAGAGATTTTACCAGATGATGAGAGTTTTGCAGGAAAAGAAATGCAGCTCAGGTTGGAGATGGGGCCATGTTCTCACACCGTGGTGTGTATGACTCACGTTGGTCTTGGTGACAAGGAAGCTGAGAGAGACATTACGGTTCCACAGGCAAAACGCTGTGATGCCCCAGTAGCCAACGTGTTGAGCATGGCCCACGACTAATTAAAGAAAGGCAAGTGGTCTTTGATTTTTTCACTTTTGCTAGGTCACGTCTGTCCTTGGTTTGGACCAATGGTGGGAATCCCTACCTTACTTATTTCTGACTTACCATAACTTCTGGAAATTTCCCAAACCAAATCAGTGGGTATCGGCCGAACTGATATGCAGTTCACATGTATGAGAATCAAAAAAGTGGGCCCCAAGGCCCAGGAATGTGGGGATGGCCAGAATGATGCGCCAACATATTCCAGGAGTCTGCTGCCCACAGACAAATGACAGAGAATGTCAGCCAGAGTTGGTACACAGCCCCAGAGGACAGACCTCAATTTACATGTATTCATTCAACAAGTAAATCCCAACTCTTTGCCCTGGGCCCCAAGGAAGTCATTCCTTACTAGCAAGAGCTAGACAAGGACACAATCACAATACAAGGCACCACAATCCGCATGAAGGCAGGAATCACACTACTCTTGATCCCCACTGTCTCCCCAGGACCTTTTACAGTGCCAAAAGAGATCAAAGAAATTGGCTAGGGAAGTTAGGAGCCTTGAATGCCAAGTCAAGGAATTTTACTTGACTTAGCAGGCAAGGGAGAGCCTCAAGAGGATTCTAAGCAGGGGAATGGCACAACAGAGCTATGTTTTTAGAAAAGAGCCCAAAGGTCACAATGAAGATGAACAGAGGGAGGAATGTAGACATGAGCAATGAGACTACTCAATTGTCCAAGTAAAAAAAGAAAAGAAAACCCCACTGGCAAACAGGAAGAATAGAGAAAAAAAAGGACAGAAATGCTGTCACAGAGATCATCTGCAGGGCAAGGTGAATAATGATCCACTAGGGAGGAGTGATGGCAAGAGGGAAGACCAGAACCACTTGGGAAACCAAGCTGCAGTAGGGATGATCAGTGAGCAGAAAATTAAGGGCAGGGAGCAGACTCAGGACGAGGATGGCTGGGTGAGCTTCAGCACATGAGGTAGGGAGCAGCTCCAAGATATCCAGATAGAAACCCAGCGCCTTTATGGCTCGGACCCAGCTATCTCTCAAATGTTCTAGAGCTCCTGTGCTCAATGCAGCAGCCACTAGTTACATATGGCTATTTAAATTTATGTGGATTACAATGTAATGCAATTAAAAACTCAACCCCTCAGTCGCGCTAGCTGCATGTCAAGTGCCCAACAGGCACACGCAGCTTGGCGCTGGTTCTGGACCGCACAGACGGAGAACATCTCCATCATCACAGAAAGTTCCACCGGACGATGCCAGTCTGCAAGGCTTCCTTGAAAAACCCAGCCCCATTTCCAGCTCGGTGCGCCTGGTCCGGCAGCTTCCCAGAGAACAGTCCCAGAGACCCAGAAGATGACAGATTGCTCCTGTCCCACCTCATGGAGCGAGGGGCCTTGTCAGGCACCTGCCAACGCAGACAGCTGGCAGCGCAGGTGAGCTCGGCGGGAAGGACGTACCTTTGCAGGCCCCCGCCGCGCCGAGGTGGTAGATGGCTGCCAACACCCGCCAAATGGCTCGCTGCTCGCCCTCCGAAATGCCCAGTGTCTCCATGGCGCCCCGGAGCTGGGCAAAGGCGGCTGCCGCCTTCTGCTTGTCTTCAGGCTGAGAGCAGAGGGAGAGAGGAGGAGGCCATGAGGGTGGAGGAAAGGCAAAGCTCCGATCAGGGCCCACCCTTGGGGGGGTGGGGGGGATGCACGCTCGCTTTATTGCCACAGTAAATTACCCACAATTAGGCTGTGGCATGTTGACACCCAGGGCTCCAACTGCAGGGAAGTTATAAAGATCGTTTCTTTTTTTAAAAAAGATTTTATCTATTTATTCATGAGAGGCAGAGACACAGGCAGAGGGAGAAGCAGACTCCCCACAGGGAGCCCAATGTGGGACTCGATCCCAGGACCCCGGGGTCACTCCCTGAGCCAAAGGCAGATGCTCAACTGCTGAGCCACCCAGGCATCCCATAACTATCATTTCTATCTGACTTGGAATGTGCTGTGATTTTTATCTATCCTCATGTTCATGCAGGACATTTTTTTTTTTTTTTTTTTTTTTTTAGGCACTGCCTGGTCCTGGGCCCTGAGGACACAAAGCCGAGGGAAGCCCAGAACTTGACTTGGAGGGCCTCTCAAGGTAGCAGTGAAAGGAGACATAACCGGGGTCTAGGTATGAGTGGGGAACAGTGGGGTCTCAAAGGCAGGCAGGCACTAATGATTCCCACCCAAAAGTGTCAAAAGAGATTGTCATAGAAGGGGAGACAAAACCGAGATTGAAGTTTGAAAAACGAATAGGCGTCATTGATCAATTTAGTGCAATAAGTCTCGACCAGCAGAGGGAACAACATGACCGCAGGAGACCCAAGGAGACAACACGTGGCCCACAGAATGTGGGCACAGAAGCAGGTATTTTTGGAGGTGGGGCCGACAGAGAAGAGAGAAAGCCTGAGAAGCTGGCAGGTGCCAACTGTGAAGGCCTCACGCATGATGCTATGGGCATAGGCTTTCAAATTCCAACCATGACTGGCAAACACTGTCTACACTCCTGCACCAGTGGCAGACATCACTAATCGATCAGGAGCCCACAGCAAGCTAGTGAGTCCCAATTCTTTTCAGGACACCACCCCTTGCAGCCGACACCAGCTGATCTGCCTCAGCAACTGAAGTGGAATCTGTTTGCCGTCCCCAGTGCAAGTGATGGGAAACTGCCCAAGACTTTTAAAGCAGGAGGAAAGACAAAGTGACACGATCAGATGTTTATGGGTTGTACTGTGTTGTTTTTTCTTTTTCAGATTTATGATCCCAATTATGTTTGATTGAATATTAAAATTAGTCTGAAACTCCTGCACGCACCATCTGGCCAAGGAGGCTCAGCCCAGAAACCTGCTGGGTTGAGAGGAAGTGAGCTGGGGACAAGAATTCTTTTGTCACTAATCCGCCAGCAGATAATGAGGAACTGATTTGCACTTGGCCCTCTTACAGAGCGTGGGCGATGAACTGTAGGCTGTTGAAGTTGGCAGGTCCTTGCATTTTGCGGAATCCAATGCCCAGAGAGGGGATAACACTTGCCCAAGGTCACACAGTAAATTAGTATCAAATAGAGAACTAGAATCAGGCTTCTCTGATTCCCGGCCCAGGCCACTTGTCTCCTCCATCCAAGCCACTTCTAACTAGGAAAGAAACCTTGCAAGGATCGGCAACCAATCGGGACGACGTCAAAGCATACAGTGACATTGAGAGATGCGCTGTGAAAATATTTCAATTAATAGCAAAAGCATGTTCCACTGATCCATCATATTTCTGGGCCACCACAGGACCACAAAATCCCTAGCAACCAGGAGCTCAACCTAGCAACCACAGCTGCTCCACTGAAGCAAACGGAGAGAAGGAAGGCATCTTACCAACATGTTCTCGGTTATTTATGAGATTTCAAAGCAGCAGCGAAAGGACACCAAAAGGACAGTGGCAACACATTTATTATGGCTCCCACTGTCAGTTCTGAGCATTTGACTTTAAATTATAGGCGAACTCCATCATCTGCCACTTAGCTCATGTGAAGAGAAGGAGCAACTTTCCCTGAAGCTTAATCTGTTTGTCTTTCCCTCCCCTCGCAGCCCCCCCCCACCATGTGTCTGTCGCAACAGAAAATATAGAGAGACAAATGTATATGTTTCTGATCCAAACAATTAGGATCAGGAAAATGCTTACAGTTCCTTAAATTTCCAGGGAACCAAACACTCCTGCCTCTTGCTAGGTGCAAGCCACTGGCATCCCAATCGTGCACATGGAGATTGGTGAAATTAGTGGAATACATCAAGTCACAGCCCAAATGTCTACCCACGGAGAACGAATAAATGGGGAGCTGTGTAGCTGGGGCATGGCGTTGGAGTACGACACGGCATTGAACAAGAATGAGCCGCTGGTGGGTGCAACCGCATGCCCGCTTCCCATAGACCCAGGGTGAGCCAGAGAGGCCACATACCAAAGACACTGCACCCAGGGACCCCCTTTCTGCGAGATTCAAGCATGGGTCAAGCTAACCCACAGCGAGACAAGTCAGGTTGATGACTTCGGGCCAGGGGCCAGGGAGACACGTCTGATGGCCAAGAGACTTGAGGGAGCCTGTGTCAGAATGAGGAATGTTCCAGGCGTTGATCTGGGCTGTGGCTGCAGGTGTGGTTAAGAACATAATCATCACTGAGTTGGAGGCTGAGAATGAGAGCACTTTATACGCTTTATGTCTCACCTCGATTTAAAAAAAAAAAAATTAACGGAAAAAAAGCCAACTCACACAATGCCCGGGGTTTATCTGAGGCAATCAAAGACTCAAGGTCAACCCAAGACTGCAGATAATTTAGTGAAAAAGAAAAAATCCAAAATGCTGTCTCCACATTAGACTGGGCTGTGCTTAGAGCACCCAGGAGATTCCTACAGAGAGAGGCCAGGTTTGGATTTGGAGTCGGGCAGAGCTGGACGTTCCCTCAACTCCACAGTCCCCAGCACGATGACTCTGCACAGATCTCTTGGCCTTGTGCTGGGACTCAGTTTCCACTTCTGTAGGATGGAAATCATCGCCTACCTTCCTCCAGGGCCGCTGTGAGGAATAAATGAGTCGTATGTAAAGCACCTGGCATCGTGCCCGGCACACAGTGGTGCTGGATAAATGCTGATCTCCGTGCACCACAGCGTCTGCTCCGGCCACGTCGTTACTTAGGCTGTTCCGCTTTCCGGGACACCTTTCCCTACTGCTGCCCAAGGGCATGCCCGGCCCTCCATGGAAAGCAAAGCAGGCATGGCCCTGTCCTTGAGAGGCTCCCAGTCCAATGAGGGGGACAGATGTGCCAACAGAATGACAGCCGGAGTGAGTGCAGGGGTGGGGAGAGGGGGCTGGGAGACTCTGGGGAGGGTCAGAGGCTTCCTGGAAGTAGTGGCACATGAGGCAAACAGAATGAGCAAGGAGACGTGGGTGCTGAGGGTCTTGGGGGTGCAGGAAGAGTCTGTCTCCACACAGAAGGATGCGGGGCTGGGGAGCATGGTGCACTGGGTGCAGAGAACCCTGCGGATGGTGATGCAGGGCTGTCTGCTCTCTGAAGGAGTCCATGGTGCTGGAGGACTCGCTGGCCGGCGGGAGACTGGCACGTGAGCATCCTCCTCCCTGAAGCCGGCTCTGGGAGGAAAATGCTGAACATTGACTCACTTCACTTGCAAAGAACATCGGTGCCCACACAGGTGGGTGAAGCTCATAGAGAACGTGGGGAGGGCAGGAAGGTGTCAGCCCAGAGCCTGGACCTCCTCATGCCTGGGCAGCTCTCCCCATGCTCTCGATCTGACCAATTTGCATCCTACCTGGGCACTGAGAGTCTGTTTAAGGAGCGAGAAGGGCAAACATTAGCTGAGCACCTACTATACCACATGGGGTACTTTTACTCTATATGGTGGGTGTGAGTCTCTCCAACGGACAGAGGAGGAAACTGAAGCAAAAGCCACCCACCTGGGGAGGAGGCAAATCACTACTTGCCAAATACTCTACTGGGTCTCCAATCCTGGGAGCCAACCAAGGAGCTGGGTATGGCTCTACCCATTCCACAGGTGCAAACACTGAGGCCAAAAAAGACGTTTGGGTGGCTCAACGGTTGAGCATCTGCCTTAGGCTCAGGCGAGGTCCCATGGTCCTGGGATCGAGTCCCACATCGGGCTCCCTGCAGGGAGCCTGCTTCTCCCTCTGCGTATATCTCTGCCTCTCTCTTTGTGTCCCTCATGAATAAATAAAATCTTAAAAAAAAAAAAAAAGAGGAAGCGACCCAAGAGGGCCCAGTGGGCCAGACCCCAGCGCACATGATCTTCAGCTGTGATACAGGATTGAAGTAACAGAGTGGGATGGACAATAGTGCCAAATTTAGGGTCAGGTCCAACCCTGCCCCTGCCACTGCCAAGCTGTGTGCTCTTAGGCAAGTAACTCTACCTCTCTGAGCCTGGTTACTGCTGCTGAAAAACAGATGTGATAATAATCCCTTTGCTCAAAGGATCATTCAGAGGATTAGAGAAGAGAAGGCTCTGAGCAGAGCCCCTGGCAAGAGTGCATGATCCCCCAACTTCCCATTGGGAGACCATTCCTCCACAGTTGACAATTGGGTCATAAAAAATAAATGCGCCTCGGGCCAAAGCCTGGAAGGTAACGGCCAGAAGCAAACTGCTGGGAGGCAAAGATGATTATTATTATCACCGCTGCTGGGCACTTTAAAAAAAAAAATCAGGCTAGGTTGCAGAAAAATAAATTACAGAGAAGAAGAAAATAATATGAAAGCTTTGTGATTTCAAATGTGTCCTGGTGCCCTGGCAGATCTCAAATAAGTTCCATTTAAAAGCTGAAAGTGGCAGGCAGCAAGGGCACAGTGCAGGGACAGGATGTGGGACTGCCAGTCAGCGAGCGGAGGCGGAGGCCACCGGGGGACCAGCACCGGCCCGATTTCTCGCCCCGGGCCCTGCTCCAGCCTCATCCAGTGCTCTGCAGCCACGCTGCCCTGTTTACTGCTCTTCCCCTTCCCCTTTGCATCAGGCGCCCAGTGGAGGAGGAATATTGGCCTCGCTGCACCTGTCTGACTTCACTCCATG